TGAATAAATGGAGTTTTACACCCTACTTTTCTGCACCATGTGGGCTAATGAATACGGACAACGCCATGCAGGGTGCAATAAGGGAAATTTTGCCAGGACAGCAGCATTAGCCTGCTCTTTGAGGGATCTTTAACGTACACAGCCTGTAGCACACGGGGCCTCGGTTTATTGTCCCATCCGAAGGACTAGACACTTTTTCCATGTCAGCCCCTCTTACCTCCATCACTGACAGGGGGAAACCGGGTTGAAAAATCCGAAGGTATTATCTCGAACTATGCTAGGATTGAACCCTGGACCTTCAGATTAGCGAGCTTCTAACTCACTGACAGGGGGAAACCGGGTTGAAAAATCTGAAGGTATTATCTTGACCTATGCTAGGATTGAACCCTGGACCTTCAGATTAGCGAGCTTCTAACTCACTGACAGGGGGAAACTGGGTTGAAAAATCTGAAGGTATTATCTTGACCTATGCTAGGATTGAACCCTGGACCTTCAGATTAGCGAGCAAGCGTTTCACTGAGCCACCGCGGCTCCCATAACACGATGCAGTGCGGTCAAGATATCGGGTTTATTTAATCTACAGAGAGGAAGGTAACAAGCAAAAAGGGGGAGATCACTAAGACATTCACTGTACAACATGCTAAATGACCAGATGATCAAGTCTACCTGAGTGTTTATTTCGTTTGAATTGCGAGTGTTATCTTCGCTATCTGCCTCGTTGGAAACACCAGACAAGCGTTTTAAAACGTCTCCCTAAATTAGATTTTAAATCAAAAAAATCAGTCGTTCAGGCTGTCCAGATACACATTGACCAAAAATAAGAGTAATTTTAGGGCTTAATTAAATAGGGCTAAAATTAAAGGGACAGATGCATATAAATGTTGTACTAGAAATATATGAAAATCACATAATTCCTTCTAAAATACAACGATACACTATACATGGTCCTTGACTTGGTTGATTTGAGTCTTGAATATATGTAAATAGTCTTCAGAAATACTAGAAATGTACGAAAATCACATAATTCCTTTAAAAATATCTCAAACTAGAAATTTACTCACTATTTCTATAGATGTCTTTTCTATATATCACAGTGTCTCAAGAAAAGACGAGTCGTCATTTTAACTTTCAAACGTAGATAATTCTGGCCACACATGTATTTGAAAGCTCAAAATTTGATGGTGAGCTGTGAACACTATTACTGATTGGCTTAGCTGATGATTGGTCAAAAAAGAATGGCGCACCTGTCCCTTTAAGGAATTTTAAAACTAAATTTGGGTAGTTTTGGACATTTAAATGGATTACTTTCGCACATTTGACACTTAAGAATTTTACAAAAATACTTCAGCACCAGGATTGAGAGTGAAGGGGGGGGGGGGGGGGATCT